TCGTCCTCTTGTCGTCTCTGAGAGCTTCGATCGAGTTCGCATTTTCGGAGGAGAAATGGCGGATCAGTACTTGCTTGGATGGATCTTGGCCTCCGTGCTGGGCCTCGTGGCGCTGTACAGAACGCTGGTGAAGAGGAACGACGATCGTCGCAGCGCTTTGGTGGAGAAGAGAAGCGAGTGCGTGAAGAGCGTCATGGTCTCGAATGGAGAATGCAGATCTACTGACGGCGATGTCGACGTTATAATAGTCGGAGCAGGCGTCGCCGGCGCTGCTCTGGCTCACACTCTCGGCAAGGTGAGAGAATATGCTTCGTTTGAGCCTCTTGAGTTTCATTTTCTCGGCAAACAAACACATTTGTTTTCATTTCTTGTTGATTTGAATCGGTATGGTATTCTGATTGCTGTGTGCGATGAGGCACACGCGCTTGAATTCTTTTGAAAAGGTTAAAAAGAAAAAGCAGATGCTCTTGAAAACTGGTAGTGATTTGATTTAATATAAAATTAAGGTTAATTACAAACACAGTGACACACAAGCGCGGGCACCACATACACCTGCATGTTATACAGAATTACTCTAATAACCTTCTGAATTAAGCTTTAACAAGTAAACAAACCTGCTCAAATGTCATCTAGGTAGCTTACACCTTTATGTCTTAATCTGACATCATCTCTGATAATCATGCTAGAATATGAATAAAGATGGTGGTTTCAATTTGCTGTTCTGGTCCTAATAATTTTCGAGTTTTCGACGACGTTGTTGCATCACTCGCATAGTTACTGTCAAAACTTTATATACGAACTTATTGCCTGCGGAAATTTTGCTGGTAGGATCTTTGGTAAAATTGTAAGTGGTTGCCCAGTTAAAATACATATGTGCAATTTTAATTGATAATACTAAGACCTTTTGATTCGATCAAGTGTGCTGTTAAAGTCTAGTTCGTACAGGCAGAGGTACAAATCTAAAGGAATATCTCTTTCTGCAATCTTTTATATTTTTTGTTTAGATTATTGTTTCAAACATTACGTTTGAATAACTACTACATGTCCTGTATTGTCTAACAGCTAGGACTGGGGATTGTAAAGGACAGAATGCGTTGCTAACAAAAGTATATTCCTTATATATGAAGAGTCTAATACGACATACTATTCCCACCAAAAAGAAAAACATGTAGACTAAGTAATCCATCTGTTACCAACTACCACTAAGTCCTGTAATTACAAGGGCCTGCACTTTTGTGAGGTTTTGTCTTACTGACCAGATTCAAGCTTACAACGCTGGTCATGGATTGAAATTAAGCTTTGATGTACTTTGCAGCTTAATTTTTCAAGCTCATATTTGCGCTTGACTTTTAATTTTTAATTTTTTTACATTGTATCCGTACTGTAAAAGATTGTTGAAACAGGGCCTTTTTTTTTTTTTCATTAACAAAAAGCAAACATCAAAGCTGAAGACGCCCTAAGGGAGATGGCAATTGCTTAGTTTTCTTTTATCTGGTTTGATTCTAGTGCAAATTATTTCTTGTGGAAATTGATGAACCTACTTTGGACTGAAGGATGGACGTCGAATTCATGTGATTGAACGAGACTTGCAAGAGCCAGACCGAATTGTTGGTGAACTACTACAACCTGGAGGCTACCTCAAATTAATTGAGCTGGGACTAGAAGGTAGTCTCATTCAAACTTTTTAACCATGGAGATGTATATGTTTATGCAGCAAGTTTCTTCTTTCATAGTGAATTAGTTGGAATTGATTAACTGAATTACAGCAGAAATCATTAGTTAATGGACTTTGAATTATATCTGACTGCAGATTGTGTGGAGGAAATTGATGCCCAGCGGGTGTTTGGCTATGCTCTTTTCAAGGACGGGAAAAATACTAGACTCTCTTACCCCTTGGAGAAATTTCACTCAGATGTGTCTGGAAGGAGCTTCCACAATGGCCGTTTCATACAGAGGATGCGGGAGAAGGCTGCAACTATTCCCAAGTATGCATTTTCTCCCTTGGTTGATACAAATCAAATGTTGGTTTCCTTTATACTGTTTGTTTCTGCCTGTTGACTCAGTGGCGAGTTCACGTGCTATTGTTTAATATATTTCATTTCTTTGGAGACTTTCTATTCACTTGTAGTTATGCTTTCCCTTTTCTTTTATTGTCTTTAGTGTGCAATTGGAGCAAGGAACAGTTACTTCTCTGCTTGAAGAAAAGGGAACAATTAAAGGTGTGCAATACAAGAATAAGACTGGCCAAGAGATGACAGCATATGCACCTCTTACTATTGTTTGTGATGGGTGTTTCTCCAACTTGCGTCGCTCTCTTTGTGATCCTAAGGTGAGGTTTGGATATATAGCATTATATTTGTCTGCAAAGTAACTAAAAACATATGTAACATTCAACTTTGTTAATGCCTAGAGCTGTCATCAACTTCTTATTTATTAATTTTGTTTTCTGCAGGTGGATGTGCCTTCTTGTTTTGTTGGGTTAATCCTGGAGAATTGCGATCTTCCACATGCAAATCACGGACATGTTATATTAGCAGACCCTTCTCCTATTTTGTTCTATCAAATCAGTAGTACGGAGGTTCGCTGTCTGGTTGATGTACCTGGACAAAAAGTTCCTTCCATTTCAAATGGTGAAATGGCAAAGTATTTGAAGACTGTGGTGGCTCCTCAGGTACCGTACATATATATGCTTTTTATGACTTTATTGAACTTTCTTTTCTTCTCTGCATTTTTCTATTTACCCATTAAATCCAGGATTTGGTTTCATGTTTCCTCTGCACTTCAATTGCAGATTCCCCCTCAACTTTATGATGCCTTCATAGCTGCAGTTGATAAGGGTACCATAAGGACAATGCCCAACAGAAGCATGCCAGCCGCTCCCTATCCTACTCCTGGAGCACTATTGATGGGAGATGCATTCAATATGCGCCACCCTCTAACAGGGGGAGGAATGACCGTGGCATTGTCTGATATCGTTGTGCTGCGGAATCTTCTCAGGCCTTTGACCAACCTAAATGATGCATCCACACTGTCGAAATATCTAGAATCATTTTACACTCTGCGCAAGGTAAGTTATATTAATATGCTGGTGTTTTAAAACACGAAGTTCTGCGCTATCTAAACTCTAACTCAGTTTATATAATCCTCCAATTTTCAGCCAGTGGCATCCACTATAAATACATTGGCAGGGGCCCTTTACAAGGTCTTTTCTTCTTCACCTGATCAAGCGAGGAAGGAAATGCGCCAGGCTTGCTTCGATTACCTAAGTCTCGGAGGTGTATTCTCTAATGGACCAGTATCTCTACTCTCAGGACTCAACCCTCGCCCGTTGAGTTTGGTTCTCCATTTCTTCGCTGTTGCAGTATATGGTGTTGGTCGACTGTTGCTGCCATTTCCATCGCCTAAACGCGCCTGGATTGGAGCCAGATTAATTTCCGTGAGTATAAATTGGTTGTATTTTCCCTTCTTCACACTAGTGAGGTGCTTAATTTCTGACCAGACAAGTTTCTCTGCTGCAGAGTGCCTCAGGAATCATATTCCCCATAATTAAGGCCGAAGGAGTTAGACAAATGTTTTTTCCCGCTACTGTTCCAGCATATTACAGAGCACCTGTCTCAAGTGAGAAGCAAATGAAAAAGACTGAAGATAGCATAAATTGAAGGTTTTGAGAAAATCGTGCTGCCGGCGGAGGCTCCGATTTGGACTGCCACCTGCCATTCCTCGTGCGAAGTTGAAGGGGGAGGGTGGTGAATGCAAAAAACAGAGATTTGTTGTAGTAACCGCAGATTTTGTTTCCAAGGACTCTTTCTTTCTATGTGTTTATTCCTTTATTTTATTTTTTTAAAGTACATAATAGAAAGAAAAAAACTTCTAATGTCCTCAATAATTTATTTATTTGTTTATTTTATTTAAGGATCAAATTCAACCCGTAGAAAAAGATAAAAAAAACACAGAACATCCACATGGTAAACAAAATTAAATTCTACCGAATTATTTTTCAGTTAATCACACTCAATTAATTTTATACATCACATAATTTTTGGAAAATTGTTAAAACAATATATTACAAAGCCTATGCATGCATAGTCGCATGTTCTCCAAAATCCAAATACATAGCCCGCCTTTACTTTATGTGGGTATAAAAAAATATCACCAATTATTCCCATATGATATACAACATCAAGAACGAACTTTCAAATTCTTTATCACGAGGCTAAGATTAATCTACTCAGAATTATGTTCTTGCTGTTACTAATAATGCAAAGAAAAGGTGGAAGTGCCCTGTTGAATACTGCACAACCCTGCGCCCTTAAACGTCTCAAAAATCTCAGGCTGTATCAGCCGGTTCACAGATTCGTGTGTCCCCTCTCTTTCTTTATGGCCTCGTAGGACGTCATTACCTCTTTAAACTTTGCTTCAGCGGCCTCTGCAACAAAAGACAAGCAGTGAACTTCAATGCAAAGCAATGGCATCAGCTAACAAAAATTCGGTAATGGCCAAGAAAACCCCACCTTTATTATCTTGGTTCTGATCTGGGTGAAATTGCTTTGCCTTGGTCCTAAAAGCCGTCTGCAAGAATAAAACAAGGTTAAGAACACAAAATAAATGACTCAGTTACTCTATGAAACTCTTTAATGGATTAGACTCTAGTAACAGCTGCTGGAACTTCAATACAACGCACATATCAGAACTACAAGTTCTTGTTGTGGTTTGAACCAATGATCTCTATTGTTATAGGTCCTAAAAGCCGTCTGCAAGAATAAAACAAGGTTAAGAACACAAAATAAATGACTCAGTTACTCTATGAAACTCTTTAATTGATTAGACTCTAGTAACAGCTGCTGGAACTTCAATACAACGCACATATCAGAACTACAAGTTCTTGTTGTGGTTTGAACCTATGATCTCTATTGTTATATCTGACACGAAGTTATAGCAGGTCCATCATAATCTCCGCCACAAATAAAATGTCACGAGGTACAGCC